GGCATCAACTTCAGCATGAAGTGAGCTGTCAATATCTCTCCGTGGTGATTTGGCGGCTTGCTCTGACGATGTGGACTGAATTACAACACAACAGATAGCTCGAAACCGGAATTCTCTGTGGCATAAGAATCGTCACTTAAAACATCAGGATTAAATGAGGTCAATCAACAAGAAATATGGCAAACTATCGTACCACTAACCAGGTAGAAGAGACATCATGCTCAAATGAACACTCAAGAACAGAAAACATTAAAAAGACTGAAAAACAGGAAGGATATCGCTATACTTCCAGCAGGCAAAGGGCGCACTATGGCAGACGTGGACAAGGAAGACTATATCAAGGGGGCAGAGGAATTACTCCGAGACTAAAATGTAGATAAACTACTTGAAACCCACCCTATCCGAGGTATCTGCTGTGTTGTAATTCAATCCACATCGTCAGAGCAAGCCACCAAATCACCATGGAGAGATATTGACAGCTCACTTCATGCTGAAGTTGATGCTGACGGTGTCGTTTAGAAAGACGACGAAAGCTTCACGATTAAACAACCCAGCTCAGAAGACGCAAAACGAGCAAAATTGGAAACGTTTGACTTCACACGAGGTAGTAAATAAAGCCAGTCCTCTGAAATGTTTATAACAATTTTGAAATGTGTGTTTGTTGGGCTAAGGATCTATCGGGAACATGCTTCAGAGCGCTTTTGACGCAACTTGGTTCAGTACGCACTTGTTGCGTTGTGCCTCATCTGCTTAGGGAGTCGAATTTCAATCGCTATGTCATAGGTCCAAACATCACTCACTTGCCGAAGTTCCGGTAGCCAGACGGTGTCGTTAGTCCTCACATAGTAGGTGTGATTCACTGCAAGAATGTGCACAAGGTTGCTGAGTGGATTTCGGTGTGCACCTATCACTTATTGCAAGCAAATGCCGCTTGTTGCATCTTAGAATTCTGAGTCCTATCATTAAAGGGAAATAAAGCTTGATCACCACTATCGCAGGACTGTAGGAGTGGATTCCACACACAACGAGGATGACAAAATGCGAGCAAAAAATATTCATGAGAATGACATTGTAGTTGCGCCCTTCCAGTCACTTAGAGAGAAGGGTTTGGAATCATGCAAGAGCTGAGATAATTGATTTTGCCAGTAAAAATGGAATGTCGGATATTCATTATGTTCCTCAGTGGCTGTCAAGCCTAATCTGTGCTGAACGAAATGGGGAATCGCTCACTACATTTCGCCGGGTTTGGTGGTTGCGTACTACTTGAAGGGTATTTTTAGGCAGCCGAAATTAGTTATCTAAGTTCTGGTGTATCCGGATTGGTCAATAATTGTGTTGGCTTGGAAATTCCAAGCGGTTTCAATCTTCGGTTGGGAGTGAAAGTGGGATTAAGTGAATGAAGATGATTTTGGTGCCAAAACTGAGCCCATGTGAGGCCACGAATAGTACTTGTACACTATAACCTATTCAGCACTCGTTGCTAAAACCCAATTTACCCCTGAAATCTGACTTCTTTTTCACAATTGTACCCAAGATATCCTCCGAAGAATACCTATGGTACTGTTGCATTTATCGAGACAAAAGCTTTTTCTGAAACTACCAGAAATACCAGGGCTTGGGCGAACACGGAGAACTCACCAGCTCGTACATTAAATGGCTAGTGAAGGCTAGTCAGTCTCATGTTCAGTCCCGACCGAGTTCTGACCCACCTCAGCTGATCGATCTGACCACCAGGCGAAGAAACTTATCATTGCAGTGCACACCGGCGGACGTTATTTGGTTGAGGACAGTCTGCAGTGAGCCCTAAACCCATGCTTTTTGCTTGTTGCCGCCTGTTAGCAGAGTATACCTGCAAACTCATGAGAAGTGACTTCCCTCGTGGGCCTTTAAAGCGTGGTATACTTGCTGCACCATCCAAAATAGTAAAACATTTGTCCACTGTGCCGTCTATGTTACAGGACCAGAAAACAAGGACTTCGCTCCTCTCTAGTTAAATAAATAAATTTTTTATTCTTACATCAGTAACTTAACATGAGAGAAGCCAGTTTACAGGCATCATCATATTGATATCGAAAAATCTACAAGATTTTACGGGTCCCGGATGATACAAACGGAATGTCATTAAACTCACTTAAAAGCAACAGATCATGCTAGCTGTGAAACGAACAAGAAAATATCGCTTATCATCGTTTACGGAGTGTTAAAGTTTAGATAATAATAGATACCATCCTCATATAATAGATTTAACATAAGGGATACCAGTTGGCAAGCATATTCAAACTGATAATTCATGAAACTATGCAAAATAGTATTTATTATTAAATAATTAACACACCGGGTCGTTGATGCGCATAATCTTATTAAAACTTGCTGAAATTCACGAGACAGACATGGATTTTCATCTCCCATCACACAGATAGGCTTCACCATTAGGAACAAAAACGCCCAGTGTTCGAAGTTTGCGTCATAGCCACCAGAGGTTGTTGTTCTATTTGCATAGTTTGTTATTTAGTAATATAATCATCTATTCCCTAGGACAGTTCCTCAGTTTTAGCTTTTCTAACCGCAAAGGACCCATTTATACAACCTGGAGCGTCGGTAAAGCATCCACAGTCATATAACCAAGGTGTATGTAAATCAAGGCATTTCCAGGTCACCATCTCACTTTTAAGGTTATATAGATTAATTCCATCAAGAATATTTGTTCTGTTGGATGGAAATAGACACTGAGACGGTCAGTAGTTTAACTAGCAATATTTGTACACAGACTTCGGGTATCTTTTGTATTAGCATAGGCGGTGCATTTGATGCCCAGTAACCTTCGTATGGAAAGATCACTTGATATAGAGTACGGAAAAAGATGTAATGTGGAGCTACTGAAAGTAAGTCGCTTCTCGAGCCAGTAAGTAAATCGGTTCCTGGTTTGATCATTTGTTCGGAAATTCTCCGCTACTAATACTGTTGGGAAAGTTTAGACGGTTCGTCGCCAAAAGAATCGTGACCAGCAGACGACTTTATTATGAAGATGGTCCAGAAGCCGCGAAAGAGTGGGGGTGAATAAGTTGTAAACCAAGCGAATTGAGTCCTGAAGTACTGCAATTTGTCACAGCAACGTCGGACCAAATATGAATGATGCAACCGCCACCTCTACCATTGTGTCTGTCTTCCCTAGACAAAGTATAGTTGTTGACAGAGACATCACTGTCACGAGTATCTGAAGTACACCGAGCTTCCGTGGCGAATATTAGTCAGGGGTTGGACACGATCAACAACATAGTTATCCCACTTATTGAGTTGCGTGTAGAACGGGCGTTAGCCAGACAGGTCAAATAATCGGATAAGCAGTAGTACCTAAGCCTGGTTTTGGGAGGCTTGCTCTGGTAGGTTCAGTTGGACTGTAGAGGTGAGATGCATGGGTAGAATTTAATTTTGGGGGCATACCAGGGAAACAAAACATCCCTAGGCTGCTATTAATATAACCCTTTAGTGTGTCAGGTGTTGACTTTGCTGCATGTGGGCCGGGGGGACAGGTTGGCGTAACATCTTCCCCGCGGTCTGTGAAAATTTGGATTTTCAGCATGAGCCCAATGTATAGATGTCTTTGGAAATGAGCCAAATAAATCCGTGGTTTCACTTCTGTATGAGTAAGGGTAGAGTGCCAGTGCCGCAGGCTCCATATGAACACTAGGCTTCCAACTACAACATATAGTTGTACTGGAGTAAGCATACATCGTGGCCGAGTGTTGCGTAGATGGTTGTGGGGAGAAAAACTTGCCATTTCTCCCCTAGCCCCTGTTCTGTTGACTATGGGAGGCCTCTGTGCTATGAACGTTCTTACACGTGTACACTTTCTTTTTACCACCTTGGTGTTTGAATCCTACCTTTCTGTTGGTTAATGAAGGTGCCGTGGAGCTCGGTGTCGTACCGATGGACCTCGCGAATGTGTTTGTGTAGGTGAATGGGATCACTCTTTCAATGGTGTTTCAACAACTGGGTTTGACGGGCCGAAAGTGGTTATTTCAAGGATCACTGAGCCATTTCTGTGTCATGGACTTTGGCGGTAAGCCTGTACTAGGATTTTTAGGCTTAGATCTCCAGGACATGGCACTTCAAGACTATGCATTGTCAACACACCTGGAGGTCATCGTTATCATCTTATGTGAGAGGCTTAAGGGAGGTAAAGGCTTATCGGCATAACTGCATCAGTAGGATGTAGGTTTCGTAGATTAATTCAGGAGGATCAGATGCACATCAGATACATCACCACCGTTGCCATCCATATCAGCATCATCTGCAAATAAATCTGTATAATTGGTGAAGATTTCACCTTCAGTTTCAGTGGTTACTACCATGTTGGTAGGTGAAACCATGGCGACTGATGTACTTGCAACACCTTTCACATCGGTTTTAGTCATATCAGCCTGGGCCTGTAGCCATCGATATCAATTGTCATTTGGACATCAACCCGAAGCTTACATTTCACAAAGCTCAAACCGCCAGCCACAGAATTAAGTGACTGATGCCAACCTTGGGTCTTTAGGATTTGTCCTGGCGTGAACTTGACAGACACAAAGACCAATCACTAATTATTCGAACTTGTTATATACCCACGAATACGAGACCAAAAAAGAACACGATAGCGCAGTCGGATGGAATAGTGGTGGTTGTGCGAAGATACCGATGCGTACCAACTAACTGGCTAGAGAGTTGAATACGAGCAGTGCAACGTAACACGACAGCGTGCCAAATGGCGAGGATGCTTGACCGGGTGCCTTCAGTTTAGCAAGTCCAGTTAAACTATCAAGGTCAGCATCAATGTCGAAAGTCGTCAAGCTCTAGGCTATTGATTTTGGGGAAGTGTGTGACGCTACAGGTCTAGTCACTATACAACAATATTCCGTTTTTGTCCATTTCACAAGCGCTTGCAAGCTAATATAAGTACTTAGGTAGCTCACTAGCTGGTACTTGTTTTAATATCTCATTCGATCACCTCAAATATCAGTAACAATTTCAAGTGAGGGCAAAACCATGGCCGGTGAATTGATGCTTGATGACTTTTTCTCCGACTTCAGCACAAATGAATTTGTAAGTTGAGTCGTGAATATAATTTAGGACGTAGAGTTCCGTTCAGCCAAATCAACTGTGGATGTCTGAAATCTTTGAAACTCTTGATGAACAGCAAATCATACACGAAGATCTGCTGGCAGAAAATGTGCCTGAAAGTGTAAAGTCCAAGTTGGATGCTCCACTCTGTGATTTTTTGCATGGAGAACGTAAGTTCGGAAAAAATTTTATTTTGTAGCCGCTGTAGACGATTTTTTTGTTGCCGACGAAATCGAGATTAGTGCCTCTACTCCATTAGCACCTATTCTCCTAGATAATGCGTCTAATTCTGATGAATCTAGTGGGTACGCCTCTTGTGTACAGTCGTCCAAAAACTCTTCACCTGTTGCACCTCGTTTTAAGGCCATTTCTTCAAACAACTCTGTTCGTGTCTGCTCGCCCACTAATACAGCGTCTCTTCCGAACCCTTCACCAAAAATACATGTTACCCGTATTGACCCTTCGAAATTTGGCACGCACACTGTCCAAGCGGTTCTGCAGAAAGCCACCACGAAAACAGATGTTAAACCTAACCGTGTTCACTTTATTTTACGACCTCTCACATCAGAATCGTCGTCTTTAGCGATATCTTCCGACTCCGTTAATTATCCGAAGAAAACAAGCACTCCCAGAAAGATTTCTTTTTTGAGTGGAAAACCTCACGTAACAAGTACGTTTACATTATTCAAACGTACATCTGATTTTGTTGCAGATTCCCAAGAATTATACGACTTTATGCATAACACAAAACTGAAGCAAGAAAATACACCTTTTAACCGAAATGAAGTTTTACAATCAACAACATCCATTGGTTCTCATTCAAGTTCAGAGTCAGATAGCAGGGATAATTTTGATGAAGAAATGGTATGCCAAGAATTCCTTCTTGACCACGAAAATATCAATGAAAGTTCGGTTGACTGTATGAATTCTCATAAGCTTTTAGCTAACCATCTCAAGTTCAATTACGATAGTCATTCTGAAGATGTGGTCTCTGCCAAAGGTTACTGCAGGTTATCTGATATCGACTCCTTGATATTCGATGACGGATCACTAAATGACTTTGCAAAACCAACTAAGGTTTCACAACAACACTTCTTTCAAGACCAGGTTAGTTTTATATCATTTTGTTGTGTTTGAACGGCTTAATTTTTATCACGGAAAGTTTTCACCAGTAAGTGACTATTTTCTTCTCCACTGAACGAACTTCCACCATCGACCTGAAATTTCTAACTACATGCAGTTTGGTGATATGGCTTAAATAGCTGATTCTTTTGAAATTGTTTATCATAGTATTGCCCAACGTAATCTTGGACTAACCACATACTTTCGACCACAGTTACTTCCTCTTAGTCTTGCCTGGACAAACCAGAAGCAGAAAATCCGCATTATTTCAAAATGCAGTTGTCTATTTGCTTGATTTCTTTAAATCTCTGGACAAACTTGTTCTGGATTTCAACGGCAGATTTTTAATCCGTGTATGAAAAAACAGCGCATACTGCTAAGTTTTATAAAACATGTATGCAGGGCCACTGATAATTCCTGTATGCAGTTATGGGTGTTATAACATTGAATGTCATCATCGAAGGGTAACTGGGAAAAGGGTTGTTGGTAAGCGATATCATGAAGTAACTTATTTGGTTGTTTGAGCAAGTACGATCCTCCTCGGTTGATTTGTCGGTGCCAAATTTCAGCGGTTGAGACTTCGTTTATTTTCATATCTTAACTCGAGGAGCTTTGGCTCGTCAATTTAGGCATCCAGTCAGTGGGTCATCGAGGTTAGGGCAGTCAGGTGGTGTCATTAAACTTTCATACAACAGGTATGATTCATTGCCTACTGCATGAACGCTGACAAAGTTGCTGACTACGTCATTGGTTCTTTTCTACCCTTGAGGTCCGTGTATGTGTCTTACCTGAGGTTCTTCAGTAGAAGCTCGGGTCAGACTTCCATGAGGAACGTTAGTTATGTCTTATTTCGAATGCACTGAAATTTGTCCAAATGTAACTTATAACAATTCGTCAGTATGAACATAGTTTTTGTGTAAGCGTGTCTTGTTTTTTACCTTGCGATAAGTCTTATCTCTTGCCTTCGTTACCAGTAATTACTCCATTATTAGCACTTAGGTCATGAAGTTTTCATCTCTCTATTCACTTTTGCATCTCTTAAGTAAACCTTCGACTATCTCGCTTCATATCTCAAAATAATTCTCATCTTGTCGAGTTATTTATTTTCCGAATTCCGCTTGTCGCATGGGGTATTATTGTGCAGTGGAATACCTTTCAAAATAAATTTTGTACTGTTTTCAAACATGACATTAATTGCACTGCCTTATCGACTTACAGTAGACTTATCTATTTGTAAATGAAATTTTCGTTTCCTGAAGCTCCACAGTCGTATTTTTGTATATTACTAATGCGACTTTTTCAACAAGAATTCAGTTACATCTAAGAGAGAGTGGGAAAGAGTTGTATAATATACGTTAATCAATGTAAATAACGCGAAAAGTGGGAAATTTGATGATGAAATTTGTTGGTAGGTGTCAAATGCAATAGTTTAGTGTCCTCTTGATAGATGTAAGAAAAATAAAGAAAAAAATCGTGATAGTGTAGTGCGTGCTACTGATAAGAATAGATATAAGTATAATGTGTTGAGAGGTCGGCAGAAATCATAGGCAATTACCGGCGATAGGCAAATATTCTGCCCAGAAAAACGCAAGAGACAATATGGGCGTATTAAGCTGAAGTTGAGATAGAAGTAGAATGAAATGAAAAAAAAGAAAATAAAACGTATTGTGCAAATGACTATTATGGTGTAAAGTGTACAATATTTTGCCAGTACTGCACAAAATGTCATAATAAAGATTCTGTCCTGCATCTCAGTCTTAGTCGTTTCCTACAATGTTAGCAAACAACTAATTAAAATGAAATTGAAAAAGTGAAAGGAAAATAAATTTGTGGGGGTTAAGACCATGGTAAGACAACAGGTTAGGCACGCTTCTGTATGCAGAGATCAGTTTTAAATTGGTGAAATACCAGTGCTTACACACTGCACAAGTTCCGAAAGCGCTCTCCTTTTGAATTGTTACCTTTGACTTTGTAGATGACTCTGGTGGAGCTAAATGTCCAGAGCTGACCACATGTTCATCAATTTAATTGGTAATTGATCTACATTCTCCCCTCGACAACCATGTAGAATAGTGCTGGAAGAGGAGCAGGTAAGTTTATAGATAGACTGAAGTGACCCTAAGGGTAACTTATTCTTAGCATACCTCAGAACCATTCTCTGACTAGAGAAGCTAATCTGTAACTTCGCAGAGAAAAATGTCCGCTTCAGCGATTTAGACAACTGGTTCTTCAGGATTTCTGCCACTGTATCACCTTCAAAACCAGCCTTTATAAATAGACTTCGGAACTGAGTACTTGCTCCGTAATCTGTTTGGATTTCAAACTTTTTTCGATGTCTGGATGGATATTCATTCTGTGTGAGAATTGGAGTTTGTCAAACTCATTATCAATGATGTCATCCATGCAGATTCTGGTTCTTGATGACAATAAATCAGCCTCCTGCTACTGAATGGTTACCAGCTTTGGAATTTGATTTGTTGTTCATTCCATTTAATCTTTCTGTAGATAAATCTCTGGATGGAATCATTTTGTTTCCATTTCAACGAGACATCCAGAAAATGTAATTCCGAATTCTGTTCAAATTCTGCTGTAAAGTTGACCGATGGATGACAATCACTAAACATTTTAACTACAGCCCCAATATTTGTACTTTGATCACATTATAATTGTGTCATCCATATTTCTCTCAACTGTCGGGTGAACCACATTGTTCTCTAAATCCGTCAGTAGTGTTCCAAATTGTGACCCCATTGCCATCCCGTCCTTTTGAATTTTCAGCTCGTTGTTGAATTTGAACTGCACGTTAAAATTGCATCTTAGAAGTAATCCTTTTAAATATGCTTTGGGGTACCCACGTGAAAATTATTGTCTTCAATGAGAGCACATAGAAAACAAATAGTTCCAGTGAGAGGTACAGAGGTAAAGAGAGAAACTACATCAAGAGAAATAATCCACTTATCGGGTACAGTGATACTGTTTATTGAGGTGATAAGGTCCAAAAAATCCATTACGCTCTGCGCATCTAACTATTCACTTTCGAAAATTTAGTCTTTTCTGATAAGATGGAAAATATCTTGTCATCGTAGTCCGGATAAGCCATGAAAACAGTACCTGCACCATTATCACGACGAATTCACAGCAAATCTTCATCTTTTACGATCTCGCGCAGTTTCTTTTCATGCTCTTTTGACAATCGTTTACAATGTGATTTCGTATTGAGGTATTGATGACAGCAATGCAAGACAGTTGATTTGAACTGTTCGAGTTTCTTCTTTGAAACTAGCAGATCACTCATTCAATTGTTCACATTTTCAAACTGGGTTGTTAGGTCGAAATAACTAGCAGTTGTTGAAGTATTGTAAAAACTATATATATATATATATATATATATATATATATATATATATATATATATATATATATATATATATATATATGTATATATATATATATATATCATAAACAGTATCGCAAAAAGAATCTTAAATGAGCGACATTTTCCTGAAATATCGAATATGTGGCAGCTTTTGTAGTCGTGCTTTCATGAAGTTAGTCTGAATGAACTTAAGCTAATATAACGATTACGCTTCGGTGCAGGTAGTTCTGATTTACGCCTGTGAAATCTAGTCTCCGAGCTTTGGGATGTCCGACAACTCTGTGTGTTCGGTCATCGTAGTCTCCGTAAGATTGCTCGTATCTGGTGGCAACACCATGTAAGTAATTCTGAGGCACGACAGAGTGCATTTAGGTATGATGCAGATTGTCATTCAGTAAGTGAAGTCATCTGGAAACACCGGCTTCGTTGGCTTGGACATGTGTTAGGCATGTCTTCCCATCTGCTTCCATACTGTTCATTGTTTGCTAGCCCTGGGACTGAGTGAAAAAAGCGGATGGGTGGTTAACGTATGACATGGCACCGTAAGATGGAGGTTAGTTGTGTCGATTTAGCATCTGCTGGTGCCTCATGACTCCCTGGGTAGGGTCCGAGAGATCACGCGACTCAGTGGCTTCAGATGTTATCAGGTATACCTGGGAATCGAAATCAGGAGCGGTTACGCTGCAGCTTTCTTTTATCTTTTGTTACTGAAAAGTTATGAGTGTTTTGTTTTGAATGTATATTGATGGACTCCTCTTCTTATCATGCTATTCTTATTTTTCTTTCTTACTTATCCACTTCCCATTGTTTATGTTTTCACATTGACGTTACATTATTTTGTGTGGCTCATTTCCTGGTGCTCTTGCTGTACCATGTTTGTGTTCTAATAAATAAAGAATAAATTCTTCCACTTATAACCATCACTCCCACTATATTTCGACTGTTTCTTGATTGTAGATGCACTCTCGCATGCGTGGAACTACACGAATCGGACGGTCCGAAGTGAGTAAACTTAAATAGCATAACTCCTAAGAGTTCATTGATTCTTCTAAGATTTTAAAAATATTTTACTTCTAACGACAAGAAGTAACTCAAAAGATAGAATTTGTTTTAGACAGTTCAGTGTCCAGTGTCGTAGTTTTCTTTCTGATATTCTTAACAGAATTGTTTCACCAGTTTCTGTATACATTTGTTGAACTTTTAAAATGAACTCTGCAGTATGCATAAATGACTGTTTGATTTTATACTCTCTGTGTAGGTATTGTTCAGACGTAGAGTGTATGAATCTTTCGCGACGAATAATCTTAGTGTAGTATATTTACTTAATCGGTATTCCTTCACAATGTCCACCGTTCCTATTGTCATTCCACTATCATAGACCTCGGATATGACCGCCTCTAAGAAATTGTATACTCCGTGTTATTGCATTCGATATTTTCGTTTTCTTGTTGGTTGTGTTAATGCAACGGAAAACGATAGAACCAACCATACGATGTTTATTGTATTCTAAGGAAAAAGTGTATTTACAGCACCCCTTAAAATCCACATTCATATCTATGCATGCGTTGTATTTCATCCTATAACTAGATAATACTGTTTACTAACCCTTTTATGAACGGAAACATTAATTCTACTGTATGGCTAACTTGTGTTTGGTTGATATTCTATGCTTTACCATGTGCATATTTCTACCATAGACATGTAGTTTATATTGAGTTTACTGTGCTTAGTGTACTTAGTGCTTAATTAAACCCTGTCATGGTTATTTTAACAATTGTTTCGGGTTGTAGGCATACCTTTTATACAGTAGTATATCGTTAATTTTATTGTGATTGTAGCATTTGCCCCAGGTTTCTTTCATCGAAATTATTTGCTCATCTAGGAAAATTTTTACCAATCTGACTAATCATTTTGTCAAAGCAAGTAACCAGAAATGCTTTTGTTCCGCATGTGAAGTAATGCTTAGTTATTTCAGAAACTGGTGTTTTTACAATACCACAGTAATAATCTAGGTATCCTTTTAATTAGTTTGAACAATCTACAAATGTGGGGTACCAATTTATGAAGTCTGACTGGGAGTCTAAGCACTATGAAGAGGTTTGTTTAAAGTTCTCAAGACGTTAAGAATCAGTATTTAGAGGTATTCTGTAACATTGCTTGTATTCGGTTCCAACGATGCAGATGTATCTACTCTTTGCCATCAGAATTTCGGATATTTTCACCATTCTTTATCTCATGAACTTTTGTCTACCTTGGTATCATTCTTTTTTGTCTGACTTTCTGCATTGTTATGAACCGTGGCAACTTGGACTGATGCTTTTTTGTACAATACTGGTTTGACTGTCATAAAATCAGAAAATTGTATTTAGCACGCATAACGACACCTGTTTCTCTGGTTCGTTTTTCAGTAAATATATAAAAATAAAACTGCGAATGCAAGTCAACTCATTCATTACCTGCAAATCTCATAGTTACGCGAAATTTTACGAATTGCTTTGCATTTCAAAACATGATGGCTGCAAAAGTGATGCTGAAATCATCCAAGTATAATTTACCTCTTATAAACTAGTTTCCTATGATCATCTTTGTTATAGTTGAAACTGTGAGTTGCGGCACTGTTTACATCCGAGCCTATAAAAATGAGCTCTAGGATAAGTCTAGCCTCTCATTATGACCATTATCAGATTACCTTGGTCAAACAGATATTTACTGGGATCTATCTTTTGGGGTAAAACGTTGAAAGAACTAGTTTATCTCCTGGATGTTCTTCATTTTGTGAGCAGAACAAACTAAAAGACCGTACTCATGGATTTCTCAGCAGGTACTTCTCTAGCAGTAGTACAAAACACTTTCAAAACAGTAATTTTCAAAAAAAAAAGAAAAGCAAATTTCCTGCAAATGATTAAGATTTCAATCTAATGTTTACGTTTTTGTAAACAAGCAAACGTAAGCTAATGTTTCTATGGAATGAACAAGAAATGTTTTAAAACAATAGTAGCATGGTTACTTGACCATAGTACCACTGAAAAGCATGAAGTCTGCATATGATGAAGATATTTAAACGTCGTCAATTGATTATGAGACTTTCATTCATTGACACATCACCCAGTCAGCCACAGAATGGTGGCAACTTTTCCAGTGTAACTGAGGCGGAATTCTGAGTTTTTATGAATAAGCTTTTGAAAGTTATTTGTAACATGTGAATAAACCTCCAATCTAAAACCCCATACGTAGTATGTTAATAAGAGAGCATTTTGAAGCTGTGAATTCAACAACTGGTTTTGTAATCTGTTGGTGTAATTATTTTACCTCTCAAAAGATGCTTGTTTCTAACTAGCTACTTCGACTACTAGTGTTTAACTCATTTTCTCACTATACTATCTAGCTTCTCATGCTTGTGAAAAACGAATTGTTTGATAAAAGATTACTTCATGTAATTTCTCTCTTGTAGGTTAATCATCCCCATATGCTGGTACTCACTGAGGAAGAAAAGCGCACATTAGTTGCAGAAGGTTATTCCATCCCAACACGTTTACCTTTATCCAAGCAAGATGAGCGAAATTTGAAAAAGGTTAGACGAAAAATCAAAAACAAAATTAGTGCTCAAGAAAGTCGTCGCAAGAAAAAAGAATATCTGGAAGCTCTAGAGAGAAAGTAAGTCTTATGATTATATGACCTACTTATGTTATCATAAAATCTTTCTTGGCCTACCAATAAAGGTGTAACGCATTGGTTTGAATACTTGACTTCTAAGCAAGTTCAAACTCTATTCTCTATCGACCTGGCCAATCGGGTATTATCACTAACTCCATACACTATGTTTAACTGACAATGCGATATGTAAAGCTGTAACTGGCAGTTGAGTTGCATTATTTGATGTACAAGGAAAATCTGATAATAACCTCCCAGCATCTCACTAGTTTCCTAGTAGGAACCCTTACTTACTTACTTACTTACTGATTATCGTACCTCTAGAAAACGTGTTTCACTTTTACCCTTTCGAATCATTTTCTCCACAGTGTCAAGCGTATATCATATCTGGTATTAAGAAATCTAATCTGCGTTTTTCTGGGTGCATTATTTGTTAATCGTTACCAGGTGCTGTATTTTCCGTGTGATGAGGTGTTTTGCACATAAATATCGAGGTGTTAACTTTTTTAACTGGTAATCGTGAGTAGCGGTTTACATCAGTTTTTTTCTTGTTCAGTGTTTGATCTTATGATCAGTGGTTTGTGTTATACTACCTTGTCAAGTCATGACTTTAGTTTCTACCTCATTAAAAACTTACTCCTTTGAAATTAAATAAATAAATGTGCTTAATTTAACTTGCCACTGGATAAAATCTTTATTAAAATTACTGATTTCATAACGTACTTCAGCTCCTATTTACACTTACGAAACTATTAGAAGGCCTCTTTCCAGTTATCCTGTTGAACTGAAATGATATCAGTTCATTGTTGGTACATCAGTTACATCATTCCTCTTGTAAAGAATTTGAAAAACTGGGTGATAATTTACGTGGTCAACAGTTTTCTTAATTTCCTATATCACTGATACATTTAAAACTACAAATTTTGCTGACAACCAGATATCCTTTCTTATTTGCTTGAATAACACTGTACCTTCAAATAGCATTTGCGATCTTACTCTTCGGTTATGGTCGATATTCACCATAAGGTTTCGTCCCATCGTATGGGACACTAGTTAACGAAATTGCTTTTACTATGGTCAGACCTAGTACAAAGAAATATCATCAGTGACGTACATAAAATGCCTGCTGGGAACAATCGTAATTTAGCCTAAAAAGTATCTGTAGACTTCTCTTGTGATTACTCTGAGCCTATAGTCTACAGCTCTGGCTCACTGGTCCAGGCACTTAACTAACTTTCAAACGATGGGTCATAGTTTAGAACCTCGCTCCGCATACCGAGGTCTAGGGAACCAGGCATTATCGTTAGTCTTTACACAACACAACAGGTGTGGCTCATCGCCTACTGTACGGACGTGCATGTGATTGCTGAGTACATTTCAGTTTTTCACCTAGTTAGTGTGTAGTGAAGTCGAACATATTTTCTCTACCTTTGGTTTTCGTAATTGTTGGGATCATAAAACACTTCACTTGTCTGATTACTTGTAGATTGATTGTTTGTTGAACTTCCCCAACCTATCATCACAACAACTTTCCATGTCCATTCAGTTTGAAAATCTGCTTTCTGTGTCTGAAATATGCGGACGATTTCGGTGCTTTGTTTTGATTATTGATTAAAGTCCATTGTATCGCTACGAAATTGTAAACCATAGGAACAGTTTACATACGTATCTTTAGTGTATCGGTTGACAGACGCTACCAATCTTTCGAACAATGGAGATCTATGACTTTTTGCATCAGATAGGAATTGTCTAAAAAGTTAATTAATTTCATCCTCCGTGGTACACTTCTTTTTTTCTCTAAGTAGTGATGTCTAGATTTTGTCACTGTTGTCATCATTTTTCATTGCTAGTACTTTCTAGTATTTGTTGCCTTTTCTGAAAATGGATTTGTTAGCTAAGAATACTAACAGGAAACACCGTCTAAACAACAGTAACAAAAATCTGAAGCTTGCTGGCGCTTCATATGCAAGGTGATTTTTATTGTGTTTCTGACTACCCAGCTTAACAGGGATTAACCAGGTGTTTCAGCAAGATGGTCACGTGATATACACGCACGGTTTTATCATCTATCGTGGGCTGGTAACGCATAACTTCATATGTAGTGAATTTTGGGAAATGACTGTTGAGATTTTTTTCTACTGGTAGAATGAATTCAAGAATAGCATATTGTTTATTTACCTACTTTAGTTAAAGGCTAGCATTTTCAAGGAACGAAACATCGCATATTGAGTGTATATGTGCAATGTTTAAGTGTTAGTGATCAATAATTCTGTTCTTTTGTTCTTAATAATTGCATTGAAGAAGTACTTGTAAATAGACTCATTTTGTTGAACCTAGTCTCTATAGAGTTTTTAAAAGCTGTGAATAATTAGTATTTGTTCATGGATTAAAATATAAATTATTTTTAACATTTTTACTATCGTGAATTTCGGATGCGTTTTTCAGTTTTTTGAGGTCATTCTCAGAGTATTCATCAATTTGTTGTTTCTCTTACATGCTAAATTTTGACATTGTTTCCATAGATTATTGTGCAGTGGACAGATGATGAATGTTAGTTTTCATGAATACATCAAAACCCGTAATTACATTCTATGGATTAGGCTAGGCAATGTTTATCTTAGACATTAACTTTATACTGCTTACTCGCTTATATGAATAAACTGCCAAACGCATAAAATCAACGAAGAACCTCGCATAAATGGCATCGGTTCAAGTTCCCACGCTTCACAACAACTTGCAAAGAACAAGAGAATAGAAAAAGGCATGTGTCAAAGTGTACAAAGGTGGATAGGGGGAGAGAAAATTTAAAAATTAAGGTTAGTTAAGACATTCAATCTATAGAAGACATCAAAGAGTGAATACATTTGCGCCGTTGTGATGGATTCTTATCCATTTCACCAAGCGTTTTCAACCATTGGTTCCTATCGTCTCTGAGCAGTCTACAACAGAACCGTCAGAGAATTTGTGGACTGGTGCCATGTCTTGGCTTGGTCACCCTTACCCTTCTTCCAACCTAGTCCAAGTTCTCTTCGCAGTACATGTCGGGGTCGGTGGTGGCTCTGCATGCACAACATACGTCGAAGCTACCTCAGACGCTGAAGGTTCACAACCTTGTCGACCTACTTTCCTTTTTTATCTAATAACATTTGCCTCGAAATTGCTAACATGGTGATTCCACCATACGCGAACAATACTACGAAGACACCTATAATCAAAAGCTTTTGTCTCTTGATATCTTCTGCTTCCTACGTCATGTCAGGTAGTCGGGTATCTTGCCGCCTGGCGCCAGAGATGACGCTCGTCGGCATATACCAGACAGGCCTTTGTATCCGCGGTGGGATTTCGTCAGCGATCAGCCTGTTCGGACTGATACAACTCCCCAAATAAGTGATGGCTGATACATTCAACCAAATTACTCCCTTTCCTTAAGCTAGGAATAGTTAAGGACCAATTTTAAGGCACCGTC